CTTCCATCACTGCTGCAAGAAGCTCAGGGCCCCCAAAGTGCCCCCCAGCCCTGTACTGGAGGCTGGGCCATGCTCCGCTGGGACTTACCACAATCCCTGGGATGTGTTGGAGGGCGAGAAAGATGGACAGCAGTGGAGGAGCACCCTGCCTTGTGACTCTGACTTGTAGACCCAGCACAGAGACAGCAGTGGGCACTGTCCCCACAGCCCGGCATTAAGAGCAACGCTGGCTCCTGCCCCTCCAAGCCATGACCTTCTCTTGGGGTACTTCAGATCAGGCTGGAAACAAGACCAAGGAACTGGCTTGAATCTCTGCAACCTCCTCAAAAGCTTGCTGTGCTCCAAATACCTCAACTGTGTCAAAGCCGTGCTGGGTTGAGGATCAGCCCTGGCTGCAGTCCTTCCATGCAGCTTATAGCTCATCCTCCTGTACTGTGCAGCAGCTTGGGCAAAGGTAGCTCCAGTGTTCCCACGTGAGTGTTGTAAATTAAGTTCAGTTAGCTGAATCCTCTTAACTGTATGCTTTTGTCTGAGTAGTTTGCATAGCAAGAGTAGCTACATTGCTGAAGCCTTAAGCTGCAAGCTGCAACCTAGAAAAGTTGAACTTGTCTTGAACTGTTGCTTAGTTATGTGAAAGGAGTCCCTGAGACCAGTGCAAACTGGAAGATAAGGAAGCTACAACTGTCAACAGAAGCTGCAGCCTATCTAGATAAAAGCACCTAACACCCTGCCCGGAGACAGAGGAAGAATCCAATAAGGAACAAGATGGCTCCAGAACAAAAATCACCACTGGACCAAGAGACATGTGCAAGGCATGTGAAGAACAGGTACATAGATTGTAAGGGTTATAAAAGCCCAGGGATTTCACTGTTCTGGGTCCCTTTCTGTAGGCACCCAGCTCAAGCTGTCCCCTGTGGATCTACCACTCAATTATTAAATTATTTTTCCCTGGGATTGGATGTCTGACATTCTGCTGCAGGAAACCTGGGGCAAAGACCTTTCTTTAACAGTTTGGTGACCCAGGTGGCATTCTAAGCCACCACCTCCAGATCCTCTCATCTCCATCCAACTGCTGGCATTGGGTGAGTTCACCTGAGACCTTTTGAGCAGCAGGCATTGAAAGGTGAGTGTTAAAATTCTCTAAACAGATTCAGAAACAATACTGTAGTGAGTCTGAGTCCCTCCCCTGCTGCAGCTTGCTTATGGGTGAGCAGCCTGATCAATGTTAGATGCACATAGAAGGGATTCAAGTCCCTCTTAGCAATGAGAAATACAATCCTTCAGATATAAACCGCTGACCAAGTCTGTGACTAAGATCGCATCCGTCCACACCTAGACTTCTCTCTGAGAAGGAGTTTAGAAAGCAAGGTGGTCCTTTCTGAACCTTGTGACTCAATGGGAGGGTCTCCCCCACAGGTTCTTTTTCTGGTAATGGTGAATAAACTCAGCATAGAAAAGGGGACACCATTGGCCAAGGTATTGCAAAATTGGGAAAAGATTTATGGCACAGCTCAATTATCTAAAAAGCATGCAGTGGCCCTGTGCCAGAAGGAATGGCTATATATTACTAGGGAAGCTGGTGGGAGCCCCTGGGAAATTCAGCCAACCCATGGAACAATCAATTAAGACTCACTTATTTACAACACCACTTAGAGGATGAAAGCCCTGGTCAAATGGATTATTGGTATGTGCGGGATAATTGGGCAAGGGCAAGGAGACATCTAGCCAAGGGAAGAGGAATTAGATCTGGGGTAACAGTTGTGGTTGTGGAAGTTAAATCCCCAAACATGTCCCACTCCACCTTTTGTGTCTAATGCTCTTTCTCAGTTTTCTGATTCTGCTCTGCTGCCAGAATCTATCCTATGACTTCTAATGTGCCTAATCCTGCTGCCAGGCAACCAGGGTGGCAGGTGGAGGTCCACCTGTATTGCGTGTATTTACTAACCAACCTTGGAATCCTAGTGATGGCTCTATAGGGAAGTAAAATGATGAGACTGAGGGAGGATGCTGAGAAGTGCACTCAAATATTTTCTAACATATGCCCTGGGTACAATCCCAGTTGTGGAGATGCACAGGTATTGCTGAGGGAATTGTCTTGACCTGATGGGAGGGAGAAAATCATTAATAAGGATGCTGAACTGAACAGATGGGAGGAGACAGAAACCCCCGGCTAGCAGATGATCCAAACCTGATGAGCATCTTCTTGATTTTTGGGGATGGCTCCAACAAGCTCTGTTAAAATACAGAGGAATGACACCACAGAACTTTAATGACACACTTTGTGAATCGGGTGGCCCTCAATATATGAAAATACTTGCAAGAGCACATGCCAGCATTAGAAAAAGATTTTGTGTGGCTGTATTTGTGTATGATGGCCATGAAAACAGGCAGAAAGTTGAACTAATCAAAGAAAAGGAAGACAAAAGAACAGGTGATTCATTTGTTGGCAGCAGCATTAGCCAAGAATTTGCAAGCAAGAGGTGCTAGGAGTCAAGGAAGAAAAAGATCAAGTGGGAGCTTTAGACCAAGGCCAAGAGATAGAAGAGAACAGAAAATGTCAGGAGAAAATATTTTTGTGGGAATCTGGGAATGGGAGCAAATGGCCAGTTTTGTCAGACCCAAGAACCACATATGAGAAGGGTTGCTCATCAGAAGAAAAGAAACAATGGGAAACAAACCAAGATGACAAAGGAATAGGGACAATTGGAAGAAAACCTCTACTTCCAAAGCTGCAACCTGTCCAGATAGATGGCCTGCCTGGAGACAGAGGAAGAATCAAGTAAGAAACAAGAAGACCCCAGAGCAAAAACCACCAAGAGGCATGTGAAGAACTTACGAAGAACAGGTACATAAGGAAATAAAACAACAGGGATTTCTTTGTTCTGGGTCCCTCTAGAGAGGTATCCAGCTCAAACTGTCCCTTTTGCTCTGCCACTCAATTATTACATTATTGTTTTCCCTGGAATTGGATGTCTGACACTGCTGCAGGAAACCTAGGGCAAAGATCTTTTTCTTTAATGTGAGCAAGGCACAGGTTAGCGGTGTGCAGCCTTCTGGGCTGGGAAGCACCTCCCACATGCCTCTGCTCAACTCAGGGCTCTGCAAACAGCAGAATAAATGAAGAGGAACGGGTCTGTGCTGTGGTATGGTTATGGGCTTTCTGCCAGGCAGGCTAGGCTGGGAGCCAGGGGGTACAGCTAACCCAGCTCCCTGTGCTTTGCCTGAAGCAGGGAGAAAAGGTCTGTAAAAGAGAACAAGTTGCTTTTATAGCACCTTCCTCAGGGACTTTCCCTATGAAAAAAATCAGCTCTGAAAGAGGTTTCTCCTTCCTTAAGCACAGCCAAGGAAGAGATCACAGGGTAAGAAAATAGTGTATATTTCCCCTTTCATCATTAGCTTGGTGTGAGGCAGTAAAACTGGTCTCACTGGTTTGTAAGGGACACTCAGGAGGTCAAAAATGCACTATAAAATCCTGCTCAGCACCCAGAATAACAGGGCAAGAGCTAATTCAGCTTTCTTGCAGAGCTATTCAGCCTGATTTCTACCCCAGGCAAGTCCAAAGCACCCTGGGTCAACAAGCTAAGCCTTGCTGCAGAGGGATGGTGGACCAAGATGGAAGGAAGCTGGAGGGAAGTGATGCCATACAAAAGGACCTTGACAGGCTGGAGAGGTGGGACCACATGTATCTCATGAAGTTTAACAAGGCCAAGTGCAAGGTCCTGCACATGGGTTGGGGCAATCCCAAGCACAAATACAGGCTGAATGGAGAACAGACTGAGAACAGCCCTGAAAATAAGGACTTGGGGGTGCTGGGTGACAAGAAGCGCAACATGAGCCATCAGTGCGCACTTGCAGCCCAGAAAGCCAACCGTATGCTGGGCCACACCAAAAGGAGCGTGGCCAGTAGGCTGGGGGAGGTGATTCTCCTTCCTTTGCTCTGCTCTCATGACACCCCACCTGCAGTGCTGTATCCAGCTCTGGGGCCCCAACACAAGAAGGACATGAACCTGCTCAAGTGAGTCCAGAGGAAGGCCAGAATGATGATCAGAGGGCTGGAGCACCTCTTCTGTGAAGACAGGCTGAGAGTTGGGGTTGTACATCCTGGAGCAGAGAAGGCTCAGGGGAGACCTTGTAACAGCCTTCTGGTACCTAAAGGGGCTCTACTGGAGAAGGACTTTTTTACAAAGGATGTAGTGATAGGACAAAGAGTGGCTTTAAACTGACAAAGGGTAGATTTATATTAGATATTAGGAAGAAATTCTTTACTGTGAGGGTGCTGAGGCACTGGCACAGGGTGCCCAGAGAAGCTGTGGCTGGACAGCCCACGCAGGGTTTGGACAGGGCTTGGAGAAACCTGGTCTAGTGGAAGGTGCCCCTGGCCTTGGCAGGGGAGTTGCGACAGGGTGATCTTTAAGGTGCCTTCCAACCCTAAACATTCCATGATTCTATGAAGAGACCCTAAGTGTAATTAAGGGATGACACAAGATGCACCTTGCAGTGGGTGATCAGATTCAGGTAGCTCACAGGGTGTTTTGGAGCTGGAGACTTCCTGAAAATCTCCTGTAAGTTCCCTAGAACTTAGAGAGCTGAGAAGAGCAAACCATCCTCCCCTCCCTGGCCCACACACAAATCACAATGGCACCAGAGATGCTGCACAACGTTCCTTTATGAACATACAGTGTCGGGGCAAGATGTTCCTTTCCTTAGCGGGGCTGGCAGCTCCTGCAGAGATAACAGAGGGCTGAGCATCAGGATGCATCAGGGATGAGTCTGAGCCAGCATTCCTGAGCCCACCCTGCACCTTGGTACAGGGGCTGCAGCCACACGTGGAATGGGACAGTCCGTGTAACCAGCCAGACTCCAGGCACCCCAGAGTTTTGCCCTTTTCTCCCAGCAGGAGAGCAGAGCTTGCTCAAGAGTGGGCACCAATGGTCTGGGGAGGGACCTGCATATCAGGAGGGGGCCTTGGGGCACCGTAGAGTGGCAGGGAGATCCCTACCAGGGTCTGTTCCAGATGCTGCTCACCTCTTTCCCATCATAAGCTTCATTCACAAAGGTATCACTCTTTGGAGGAAGCTCTTCCTCCTCCTCATCCTCTTCCTCAGGGTCGCTTTCACGGTGGTACAAGGTCAGCACTCGGGTCGAGGCAGTGCTTGAGGTCCTGGGGAGGAAAACAACAATGCCAATGAGAATGGCATTGCCACCTCCTAGACATGGGGCAGATCCCAAGGTCCTGCCGCAATCCCTGGTAGTGGCCTGCAAGGGTGATGGGAGCTTTCCAAATAG